TTTTGTATTTAATTCATTTTATCTCTCTTCTCCTGTCTCAAAGGAAAAATACACATCCCTTTGTGTGCGTGGTACATGCCCTCCACTATTAAGATGGTATTAAGTTTCCCTTAACTATGAATCTAAAACAGCTTTCCCACTGATCTTTGATTTGAGTTTGTAAAGCTTCCAAGGTTCTAATCATAAGTCTTAAAAAAAAACAAAACAGAAAAAAATTATATTTGCAAATTTGAAGCTAAGGCGTTAAAATTCACAGAGTTAAAATCAGTGAATTCCTTAGGATCAGAGAGATCATATTAACTGTAGACTATTTCAGTAAGTAAATTACATTTTGATTATTCAAACCTCTTAGAAAAAAGTCAAGTTTTGAATTAAGGAGACAATGACAAAAACCAAATATGTAACGTATTTAAACCTTAGTCTAATTCCCACTTTAATTTATACTCACAACTTTAATTCCCACTTAATTTATAATCACAACTATCACTATAAAATGCCATTCATTCTTGCACTGAACAATTACTGAACTAATACATGTCTTTTGTGAATTCAAACTAGATATGCTCTTTGCTCTCAAAGATTATAGTCGTGGGGGGTAGGGGAAGGAGGAAGATATAAATACATGAGTGCAAGATATATATTTACATATGCTGGTCAGGTAAGAAGGGAGTGAAATGTACAAAAAAAAAAATGGGACTACTGTGGTAAATGTCATAACAATTAAGTAAACATGGTGCCCAGAGTCGAGTAAACAGAACAACTAACTCCTGGGGAATTACAGATACTTCTCTGAAGAGGTGACAATTAACTTTTGACAAACAAATTGTAACAGGAGTCAGCAAAATTTTCTATAAAGGGGCAGATAGTAAATATTTTAATCTTTGCATGTAATTTCTGTCACAACTATTCCACACTACCACTGCAGAGCGAAAGAAGCCATAAGCAATATGAAAATGAATGAATGTGGTTCCAATGAACTTTATTTACAAAAATAAGCAGTGGGCCAGATTTAACCACAGACTATAGTTTGCCAATGCCTAAACTGTAAAAAAATGTAGCAATGAATTCAGTGTTTTACGACATTTCTACAACAAATGAACAGACTACACAGTGTATTCTGAATTTGTAGATCTGTTTATCTTATTTGCTCTTGGACTGCCATCTCTTTTTGATGTTCGCTTACCAGTAGAGGGCCCTCCACCCCATTTCTCATTTACAATAGACTGAAAAACCAGACAGGCTCTTAGAACTATAGTTATCAGACTTCACATGAAGACCCTTTGAATTTCTCTAGTGAGTACCATGTAAGAGTTCTGGTATATGAATTGGGACTTTTATTTGGGGCTCAAGCGGGTTTTACATACTTATTACTTTGACTTCTGTCATAAGACTGTGTTCCAGAGACTATGAAATCACTATTAAATGCCAAATACAGATGCACAGATTTATACATTGACTACAACTAATATAAATATGACCACAAATGCCAGTCTTTTAAAATAATTTTCACTTGTATTTCAGATATTAAAAAGTTAATATTTCTCTAAGGACCTAAGAATTAAAAATTCTAAATTAAATTTTAGAAAGCACAGCACCTGTACTTACTTTGGCAACATTTTCAATTGGTTTTCTCTAAGTTCTAGTATCTGGAGTTTAGTTAATCTGCAAAACAAAGAAAACAAATCAAGCATCTATGACAAAGACAAAGAATTAACAAGTTAGTATCATACTCTGAAGTTTTAAAGCAATCAGTATTTATTATGTAATTACAATATGCAGAATACTGTATTAAAAATTACACAGGAATACAAAGTAATACAAAGGAAGAAAAGACTATTTCTGCCCCTCAGAATTATTAGGGGGGGGGGGGATGCTTCCAGACCTATTCACAGCACAAAGTGACTGTCCCTAAATATCAAACCTAGAGCACTTCATGCCTGTGAAAATACCTCCCAAAATTATTAACTATCTCTGAATAATAATTCAACTCCAGAGTTTGGCTCAGAGAGAAAACCATAAGGGAACACAAGGAGACATGGAAAAGGAGATATCCTCCAGCACTACTAAGATGCATTTTCCAATAAATTTCGAGGAAAAATGAGCAGATTAGGTGGTACAGAGTTGCTAAATTAATGCTACAATAGCAATGATATTACACAGTATATAAATGTATCAAATCAACATGTTGTATACCTTAAACTTCCACAGTGGTTATGTGTCAAATATATTTTCAATAAAAATTAAAAAAGTGGGTCCAAATGTCAGACACAGAATAGGAATTTCAACAAGCATATAATCTTTATCTGTTCGTGTATGTATAGGATGCATATACCAATATGGTTTATGTATATTAAATATTATGGAGCATGACAATGTAG